ATGGACACATATCAATGGCTGCAGGTATGGGTGTTGGGGGGTTTGTTTCACGTATGCGGGGTGGTTTGGCATAAAGGGATTGGTGGCTGCAGGAAGAACATATAATAGCTGCCTTGCCATCCGCAAGGCTTGTGAGTTTCTGCTATCTAAAGAGCTGCCCGGCGGTGGATGGGGGGAGAGTTACCTTTCATGTCAGAATAAGGTGTACACCAATCTTGAGGGAAACAAGCCACACTTGGTTAACACTGCCTGGGTTTTAATGGCTCTCATTGAAGCTGGCCAGGTAAAATCTTTTATTATTCTACTCCTAGTTTCACGGAGGATTATTGATTTTTTTCTCCGTTCAATCCAATCCACTCGAAAATATGACTCATAGTCCAACCTGTATTTTGAGATCTTACATTGGTTGGAGAGGGGAACGAAACATTCCTTATAAAAGTGTGGAAACTTCTCCCTAACAGATAGTTTTAAAACTTGGAAGCTGACGACGATACGTAACGGGTCAAAGCGGACAATATCTATTAATGGTGGACTTGGGCTGTTACAAATGGTATCAAAGTCAAGCACCGAATGGTGTGCTAGTGAGAACGCTAGGCTCTCAAGAGAGTGGATTATGAGATCTCACATCAGTTGAAGAAGGGAATAAAGCATTTCTTATAAGAGTGTAGAAACTTCTCCATAACAAACAGGTTTTAAAAATTGTGAGGCTAACGACGATACAGGCCAAAACGGACAATATTTGTTAATGGTGTGTCTGAGATGTTACAAATGGTATTAGAGCCAGGCACCAACGAGGACGTTGGCCACTAAGGAGGGTAGATTGTGAGACCTCACATCAGTTGGAGGGGGAACAAAACATTCTTTATAAGGGTGTGGAAACCTCTCCCTAACATACGCGTTTTAAAAACCGTGAGGCTAACAACCGATCAAAACAGATAATATTCAGTGGACTTGGGCTGTTACATGTATACACTCTTAATATCATGTCATTTTTTCATTAATCCACTAACGGTCATCGACCAAAACTTTCAAAACTTTCAAAACGAAACTGTTACCGATCGATCGGATCCTTGAGAATTTGGTTTTGACATAGGGTGAGAGAGACCCAGCACCATTGCACCGTGCAGCAAGGTTGCTAATGAATTCCCAATTGGAGAATGGCGATTTCGTGCAACAGGTAAGTCCTGTCCTGCACATATCCATTTTCATCAACTTCCTCACATATACTTAAGCTTCGAACATTATATCGCAGGAGATCATGGGAGTGTTCAATAAGAACTGCATGATCACATATGCTGCATACCGAAACATCTTCCCCATTTGGGCGCTTGGAGAGTATTGCCATCGGGTTCTTACTGAATAATGTGCCACAGCTTCAACATTATGATGTATAATATAATGTATCACATCCTTTCTTCATCTTATTATCATCATCATCTATATATGTAATAAGCAAACTATTGTTTTGCCAACCAAAGAGCTCATCTTGTGTGTATTAGTCAGCCAATTGCATGGCTTTCAACACCCAACACGACTCGTGTTGTGTTCATCTTTGATAATATCAATGTGTATAAAATTTTAATTAGTTAAATTATGCTCATGATTGTATTGTAATTGATAACTTTGAAGCTATGTTACGATGAAAAACTTTGAGAAAATTCTAAATTTAGAAAATGTATTAGATGGATTAGACCTTAAATGTAATTGAATTGAGAATTTGGCGGTAAAAAGTAGGATTGATAGACACTAAGTAAATTTTTTAAAGAATTTTGGTAAAAAGTTTATTTTTTTTTTCCTTACATTTTAATATTTTGTATTTTACCTCGGAATTTTTACTAATGCTCAATTTTGGTATTTGAATTAAATTTTAAGTTAATTTTTACAAAAATTAGTGAAAATTAAATACCAAAAGTAAGTATTTACAAAGAAAAAAATTAAGAATAAAAGTACAAATCTTATAATCTAATAACCAGATGACAATAAAAACTCAAAATTAAGTGGAAAATGTAATATTTTGAAATTTAGATATTAAATGAAAATTAACTCCGTGAATGAAATTCGAAATTCTAATATTTTTTGATAGTTTAGTACTCAAGAGTGTTTTTTTTAATAAAAATAAAAATAAAAAATATATTTAAAGACTATTTTTTTTTCTTAAAATTTAAATTAAGAAGTTCAAAGTCAAAAGCTATTCCAACTCAATTTTTTATTTAAAAAATACATATAAATTATGGATGATCTATCCGTAGATGTTTTAAAATTTCTTAGAAAAATCAATAGAACAATGGATGAATTGTCAAAAATATTTTTACTTAGAAATAGGGGTATGACAACTCGGACAAATACAACCGGTACTATAAGGATTAAGTTGAGTTGATTAGCATTTGGAGCAAGGTTGAGTTCATAACCTAGGTTCCGTTAGAAGTTTTTGAAATATTTAGGTTAATTCTTTTTTTAAGGGTGGCATAAGAAAACGTGAATCACGATGCCAAAATAAGGCAGATCTTATTCTGTGTGCCTGCGAATGTTAATTAAATATAATATACTACTGAGAATTAAATCGCGGCCGTCCATTCTTCCGCATCATGCGTCAATTGTTCGTTTCCATATGAACCTTTCTTTTATTTGTTTTTATTTTTCATTATTTATTTTACGTTCGTTTTAAATGACATCAGCTTGTAAAAATTTCCGCAACACGTGATGCATGCCAAACCACCCGCTTTTAAATGATATAGAGTTGTTGGAGCAGGAACCCATGTCATCCACAATTAAGTGAGCATCCATGGAAACCAGCAGCTATGTTGCAGCGTTGATTACTTTCTTGGCTGTGGGTTCCATTTTTTTGTTGCAGAAAAGAAAAAACAGAGCCAAAAATCTCCCGCCGACTCCCTGGGCTCTGCCCATCCTGGGTCATCTTCATCTCCTCAAGCACCCAGTCCACAGAACTTTACAGTCCCTCGCCCAAAAACACGGCCCAATTTTCACTCTCCGCCTCGGCTCCCGTCTCGCCGTCGTCGTATCATCGGCACCAGCCGTCGAAGAATGCTTCACCACAAACGACATCGTTTTCGCTAACCGCCCTCAATTCGTTTCCGGCATGTACCTCAGCTACGGCAACACCACGATGGGGGCTGCCCCGTACGGCGATCACTGGCGCAATCTAAGGCGCTTGAGCTCCACAGAAATCTTGTCGTCGATTCGCCTCAACATGTCGGCCGGTATCCGAAAGGAAGAAGTTAACATTTTACTCCGCAAATTGTATCAATTTTCGAGGCATGATTTTGGGAAAGTGAAATTGAAAACCCTGTTTTCGGAGCTGACATTCAACATAATTATGAGAATGGTGGCCGGAAAACGGTATTACGGGGACGAAGTGACGGAATTGGAAGAGGCGAAAGAGTTCCGACAAATTATGGAGACGTCGTTTCGATTGGGGTCGTACCCTGGTGATTTCTTACCATTCCTGAAGTGGGTTGATCGGCAATACCCCAAAAGGATGAAGAGTCTGGGCAGAGCCATAGATTCGTTGCTGCAGAATTTGGTGGATGAACACCGGAGATATCAAAATGAAGGGAAAAAGCTAGATACCATGATTAGCCATCTGCTCTGTTTGCAGGAGTCTCAGCCCGAGTATTACTCAGATGAAATTATCAAAGGCCTCATCGTTGTAAGTAAATTCTCACCGTTAAACTGATAATACTCTGTTTCTCTCAAGAACATGTTTTGATTTGTTGAATTTGCAGACAATTTTAACAGCAGCGACGGAAACATCGTCTGTGACGATAGAATGGGCAATGTCCAATCTACTCAACCATCCAGAGGCATTGAACAAGGCCAGAGCTGAACTTGACGCACAGATTGGGCAAGATCGGTTACTGGAAGAAGAAGACATCCCCAATCTGCCATACCTCCAGAACGTGATCTCAGAGACACTGCGCTTGTACCCAGCAGCTCCACTCTTGGCGCCACATTTTTCATCCGAGAGTTGTTCTCTGGGGGGATACCATATTCCTGCTGGCACTACCTTGTTGGTGAATGCGTGGGCGGTGCAAAGGGATCCCGAAGTTTGGGAGGACCCGACAAGCTTTAAACCTGAGAGGTTTGAGAGCGGGGGAGTGGCTGCCAACGCTTACAAATTCTTGCCGTTTGGATTGGGGAGGAGGGCTTGTCCTGGGATGGGCATGGCCAACCGTGTGGTGGGCTTGGCTTTGGGGTCGCTGATTCAGAGCTTTGAGTGGAAGAGGGTGAGTGATGAGGAATTGGACATGACTGAAAGCCAAGGGATCTCTATGTATAAAGTTGAGCCATTGGAGGCCTTATGTAGAGCTCGCCCCATCATCAAAAACCTTCCATTTCATTGATACCTCTACCTAGGAATGCCCTTTAGATTATTATTAGTATTTTTTTTTTCTAATGTCAGCTGCACTTTGATGTCGAGAATAAATCGAGATTTTGATATGTTCTAAAGTATTTGTGTTTGAAGCAATCAACCATTCATTAACATAAATTTTACATTTTAAAAACCAAGTTGTTTGATTTATTCTAAATTTTAAATATTTACTAATGCTAAATTCATCGTCCTTAGCCACTAGTATTTCCTCTCAAGTGAGTTTTCCAACACCGACAACTCGAGACAATATCCAACAGCACGACATGACTCAACAAACCCACACAATCCAATTCGTTTGCACTTAAGAAAATTAGTGTAGACGACTTTTGGCTTAGTTCGATTGATCTTGGTCTGGTTCAACAATGCTCCTTGTTGGTTCAACAATAATTTTTGGGATGGTTTAGCCCTGTTCAGAGATTAGTTCAATAAATTTTGGCTAGTTTAGATTTGCTTCATTCTTTGTAACTTGGTTTAGGTGTAAGGTTCAACATACAACTTTAATGGAAAGACTCTAATATCCATACCTTTGATACTAGAGTTTGATTTAATGAAGTTCCTGTTAATTCTAGATTTTGATGAACACAAAGCATTAATTAAAAAATTAATTTCGACCAATCAAACTAATACATTATTATTTGAAATTAAGTCGGTCTAAATCTTACAAGAATAAAACAGAGGACGTGGACGTGGACGAAATAGTATGGCATCATACACATAAGATGCATATCTGAAGCTAACTAGAAACCGCCCTCGGCGACAAGTAGGAGAGCAGCGGTTGTTTCATAGTGACAGCAGATTCCAGCTTCTCAGACAGATCAACATCTCCGGCAGCCGTCCACTTGAAGTTCCACACCAAATTCCCAACGAAGTACTCCAAATGCAGCAACCCCAAAGCGAATCCCGGGCAGAACCTCCTCCCAGCCCCGAACGGCATCATCTTTATTTCCTTACTCCCTGTGATATCAACTTCCACCTCAACCCCACCCTCCGACCTATCCGTCAAGAATCTCTCCGGCTTGAACGCCATCGGATCCGGCCACACCTTCGGGTCCCAACCCATGTCGGCAACCATAAAGTTCACCGACGTTCCTTTTGGCACCCTGTATCCGCCCTCCACAACACTGTCCTCTGTCACTGTATGAGGCAGCAGCAGATGCCCCGGCGGGTGCCGCCGCAGCCCTTCAAGCACTACGGCTTTCAGATATGTCATCTTCTGCAAATCCTCCTCTTCTATCTCCTCCTTCGCACTCTCTCCCATCACTTCTTTCATTTCCTTGAACAGCTTCTCTTGAATTTCTGGGTATTTCACCAAATTCGCCATTATCCATTGCACTGACACCACCGTAGTGTCCGTGATGGCGTCGATGAACTCTGTGCATAAAGTTATCAGTTCATCTTCCACCAATTTTCTCTTCCTCTTCTCGTCGTTGTTCTCTGCAATTTCTAAATCAAACAGAGTATCAACGTACGGAATCGGGTTCTTATTCCCAGCACCTGATCCGCCCTTCTCTTTGACTATCTTCTTTCTTGCATTGATCAATGGAAGTAGCAAACTGTCTTGCCGCTTACGTAGCTGACGAATCTCTTCCCAACGCTTCCGGAACAAAATTTTCCCCAATTTCGGAGGCCAGAAGTTAAGATCATTGAATTTACCGATGTTCAACAAAACCCCACGTTGAGATTCTTGTATTTCATTGATTAATTTGGCGTCGAATCTCTCCCCAAAACACATAGCGGCAGCCAGGCTAAACATGGCGTGGCGAAGATGGTCCACGACTGTTACAGGAACAGGGGATTGGGCAGGGGAGGTGGGGTGGGAATGTTGGATGAGGCGATGGAGGAGATCGTCCAAGACCCATTTGCGAGAAGGGGAGTGAGCCTTCAAGCGAGATGGATGGAGGAGCTCGGAGGTGAGATTGCGGCGGAGGATGCGCCAGGTGGGGCCGTAGAAGGAGGTGCTGATGTTGCGTTGGTTGCTGGTGATGATTTTGACAGTCTCCATGATAGGGAAGCGGTCTGCGAAGACAGCGCCGTTTTGAACCAAGGCCTGGTGAGCGGCAGAGTGGCTGGCGATGAAAATGGAAGGAGTGTTGCCGAAGTGGAGGGTGATTACTGGACCGTATTTGGAATGGTAATGGCGGAGGGTGGCTTCCAGCTCGGAAAGTGGCTTGAAGAGCCATATGGGGTTGCCTATGAGCGGCAAGGCAAGCGGACCAGGAGGGAGCTTTTGTTTGCGCCACAAGATACGACTCAACACAAAATGGAAGACTGCGCCGATGGCGAGGGCGCCAAGTGCTGTCACCCAACTATCCATGACTCTGCTCTGCTGCTCATTATGCCTCTACTTCCATTTTATAACACTTCGTATTGAGAAGCTAGTTAAAAAAACAAATAATTTTTGCTTTAGTCCCTAATCTTTTATTAAATAGCAATTTAGTCTTAAAACCATGTAATAGAGAATAACAATTTAGGAAAATAACAATATATATTTATTTATTATTATTATTTGTATTAACAATTATTGGAAAGAATACATCATCCCTTGCTTAGCATGATTCACGTGATGGTGTGTTATGTGTAAGGATTGTTGAAACACGTGATACACGTCAAACGTCTTAGCTTCCAAGATTTGCTATTACTTGCTTCAAATCTAATATTATTGCAAAGAATTCCTTTTAATATTCATCCATCAAAAAGGTTATAATTAAAAAAATATAAAAATATAAAAAGCTATATTTAGAAATATATATATATACTCCTAAATTTTACAATCGATTAAAATTTGCTACGCCTATTTTTTTTTAATTAAATCAATTTGTTTGTAACTATTTAACTAAATTTAATAAATAGGGTTACACTGTGCTATTTGGACTTTCTTATGGGCTTCTCAAACATGTCTATGAGACGTTTCTACACCTTTTATAATAAATATTTCGTTTCATTCTCTAATAGACGTTTAATCGCATAGTAACATAGACTACTGAGTTGTAAATATTAAGAGAAGATGAAAATCGCCAAAATTTAATAAAATGGAGAATCTATCCGTTCTAGCTATGAATCGTATTCAGTGGTAATTAAACTTTTCTGGGCTTTCTTCGAGCCCAAAAGCCCAAACTGGGATAAATAAATTTAAAAAATTAAGAAAGAAACTTCCGCAGCCAAGAGTCGAACCTGGAATTTCTAAAGATGAAATTTCCTATTGGGCTACTGCGGATTTAATAACAAATTGTCATAAATAAATAATAGTTTAATGCAAATTAAAATCTTACTCAGTTTTATATTTCTATGATGTGGGAACAAATACAAGAAATTATGGGACGCCAATTCTTATGTTGTAAATAACGTAATATCACTTAATTAGCTAGCATAGAAAATTAATTTTAGTTTCATTTTTATTGTGCTAAAATTATAGTTTTAACTAATATAATATTAAATGAAGAATCATAAAATGAGTACACAGTTTAACTTTAATATAGTAATTTTTATTTCATGTGAAAATAACGAGAGTTTGAATATCAAGAAAATTCCATTTAAAGCTGTCTTTTCTTCGTAAATGTAATATGTTGGTTGTGATAGCTCGAACACACATGTTGTGGCATGCAAGCTCACATATTTGAATTCTGCCGCTCATGATTAAATTTTTTTTCTTCCACTTAAAATTAGGGCAAAAGTAAGCTTATCCAAAAGCAAAGCACATATTTGAATCTTGTTTAGAGTTTTGTATTACATCAGCAAACTTTCTCCTAACGTAAGGCGTAAAATTGTTGTTTGACTAGAAATCATGTAGGCTTTGCCCGCGCAACTTTGAATCTTGCCGCTCACGACTTGATTTTTTTTTTTTTCTTTGGACCTAAAATTAGGGTTTAGAGTTTTGTATAGTTTTGTGATAGCTCAATTCATATCTCATATCTTGAGGGCGTGTCCAAGTGGTTAATGGGCGTGACTAGAAATTATGTGGGCTTTGTCCCTTCAATTTTGAATCCTGTTGCCCACAACTTGGTTTTTTCTTCGGACCTAAAATTAGGGTTTAGAGTTGTATAGTACATCAAGCAAAGTTTTTAGAATTATTAAAACTTTTAGGAACCAATTTAGAAGAAATTGTTGTTTTTGGATGAGGAGGTAAGAGTTGCAGCTAACACAGGCTGTAATGGTGAGTAGCAAAGGTGTCAAACTTTAAGCTAATAATAGAAGTTAAAAAGGTTAAAATTATAAAACATTTGTATGCCTAAAATTTGGATTGGTGGACGTAAAAAGAAGGAATCAATAATGGGACATGCAGCTCAAATTATCGATAAGCTTCTCTGGAACAGACATATAGTTGGCCAATCCAAACCTTTTGAAAACCATTTTTTCCATGTTTTCCCTCAACAAAACAAGAAGAACCAGCCGATGAACAGCATCAACATGCTTGCCTTTTCTTTTGCTTGAACAACATTTCTTCATCTTACTGGGTGTTCTTGTTCTTGTTCATAAACCCATTCAGCCTTGATCGAGTCCTCCCAGGCACTTCACACCCTCTAAATCATACACATTCTTGATGTCAAACGGCAAAGTGAAGGGCCTTCTAAAGGGCCTCAAACACATATCTCAAATATTTGGCAAGTTCAAACATTTTATTGCTTTTTATTCGTATCAAAACTGCATCAACATAGAGTTTATATTTGAGATTTTGGGTTTACAGAGAATGAGAAAGAAGCTGAAATGCAAATTGGGGTTCCAACAGATGTCAAGCATGTTGCCCATATTGGCTGGGATGGTCCTTCTGCCAATAATCCAAGCTGGGTAACATTTTTATTTATTTCACTCCAAAATTGCATCCAGCTATGATTAAATTGGCGATTTAATAACCCCATGGTGACCAATTTTTTCAGATGAATGAATTTAGTACGGCACCATCGATTACATCCGCTCCTTTTAATCGTTCTACCCGTGCAAACATCAAAGACAAAAACGACGTTTCTACGAAACAGGCCGGTGAAGGTAAGCTAAACACTTTGATATTATTTTAGGGTTTTGAGATTTGTGTGTATTTGATGTTACGAATTTATAAATAAAACGGTTTAGATGATAAGGAAAGTGGAGAGAAGGGTTCAAACAGCTCCCCGGACGTGCGGCCTAAATCATCAAAACACCGGTCGTCAAGTGAGTCTCCAACCAGCCATGAAAGATCAGAGAGACACAAAGCAAGACGGTCTTCCAAGTCAAAGGAGAGCTCCGACAAAAAACAAAGCAGCCGAGGAGGGGAGGAGCAGAATGAGTCGCCCAACTCAAGCCTCCCAGACATCCCAAGACACGGGCGGCGGAAGAAAACGAGCAGATCCAAGCCCCATGCTGCGGATGCATACAAGTCCTCGCATTCGGATCCTGGTCCCAACTCTGGAACGGAATCCATATCTGTATCCCTGGAAACCACCATGTGTCAGACACCTTAGAATTCAAACCATTTTGACATATTTAATCATTCAATTCAATAATCCGTGTTATTATTGTATCAAACAATTTTAATCCAATCCAATTTAACTAAGCTAACCCTTCATAAATTCTAAAATCATCTTAACCGAATCTACTTTTATCTACCACCTTTCATGAGATCGGCCATAAAAATTATTCATCAAGCTGCTATAACTTAATTATCTTAAAATCAATCCTATGCCCACTGAACCGGTCTAAAATAGGTAAAACAAGCCACCAAGTTGTCTGGAGCTGCCATCAGCTGACTACAAGCTGACAGCTTGGAGACGAGCCGTTCTTGAGCTGCACGCGTGCCAAACGGATGAGCTATCGACTTGGAGGAGCTGGGATCATAAGCTGGTATGAGAAGACGGCTTGGGCGCACGCCTAAGCTGAGGCTCTGAAATGATTGGGTCGTGCACGGGTCTAGCCCAACTTGGATTGGGCTGGCTACATGCGTGTACATGGGCTGGGCCTGATCGCATGCCTTATTCACTATAATGCAGAATTCATACAAAATAAAAAAATAAAAAATAAAATAAAATAACTATGAGTTTAAGCGATACATTAGGACGGCGACAGTAGTGAAAGAGCGGGTGAAAAAGTCATTAGTATTGTATTTATCGACCGTCGTGGCCTTCGGTCATACGGGGTATTGATTTGGTTTGGTTTGGTTTTGGGTCAAATTTAGCGGCAAGACCAGAGTCTTCAGTCAGCCGCGAGAAGAGGCGATTCACTTACCAATTTCATTGTTCGAGTGTTTGTCGTTGATTCATTTTGTCAACAAATTTGTGAAACTTTTGAAAATGGCTATGGCGGGGTTGTATAGGCGGATTCTTCCTTCTCCTCCGGCGATCGACTTCGCTTCCTCCGAAGGGAAGGTATGTACTCGCTTGCTCTGTTATCTTTCATTTTTCTCGCCGTTGTTCCACTGGTGTTCATTACTATCTCTCCCCTCGTTAAAATTTAGTCTGTGAGTCCCTACTTTGCCTTTTCTGTAATGTGGATTTGAGTGTGTTCGCTAGTGTGCAGCATTTTATAAAATACTTCAATCTAATCCATGATGCAGGTGGATAATCGATTGCCGCTTTCCAGGTGGATAATTTTTCTGGTCGTAGGTTGCTTTTTGAAATCATGATTGTATACCAATGATAACTGAATCTAAGTCTCAAGAAACGAATGTGATGCACCTAAATAGCGAATTGAAGTTATTGCTTTCTAGATTAGAAGTTATTTTAATGAGACGCGGGTTCGGCTTGAATGTAAGTTGTTACACTTATAGGAAATTAATTTTGTAGTCATCATGTAAATCATTCCTCGTCCTTAGATATTGTGATGCCTACTGTGTTGCCAACGGATATATTTCTGAAGTACGAAAAATAATTTACTTTCATCACTTGATATCTTGCCTCAATTCTCTTTTCGTACGTCGTATATGAATATTAAATAATTGAAACGTTTGTATATATAGCCATCTGGACATAGAGTTTGTATGCTTATGATCTTATGAAAATAATACCTACATAAATTACAATCTGCCCTTACAACTTAAAACGTTTGAAGTTGGGATTGCTCAACCGATCATTTATCCAGCACAATCACTAAAAGGAAATTATTAACTTCCCACTAATTATATGCATCATTTGGAACTGCAGCAACTCTTCATAGAAGCTGTTCAACATGGGACTATGGAAGGTTTTTATAGGTTAATCTCTTATTTTCAAACACAATCAGAGCCTGCATATTGTGGTCTGGCCAGCCTATCAATGGTATTAAACGCACTTGCCATTGATCCAGGAAGAAAATGGAAAGGTACTGTGAGAAGTTTTTGCCTCCGTTCATTTTATAGATAAGATGTGCATTTAAACGAAGTGTATTAAGGAAACCTAGTTGAATCATTGATGGGATAGTTCCAAACGACAGAG